TCAGCGCCATGGGTAAGATTTTTTTTTTTGGTGTTTGGGGTTTTTTTTGGGAGTGGGGGTGGGAGTGCTGCGCCCATCAGCGTGCCCAAAACCAGCCCACTGGACTCCCATCGCCATCCTCTTCATCCCCTGCCTGGCAGCACCACCTTCCGCTCCTCACCGTCTTTTGGGTTTTTTTCCATCAAAAGATGTGAAACGCAGCTTTTCTGTAGCCGCGCAACACACCTGCAGCGACACCTCCCGCATCCCACCTGTCTGGTGTTGCGGGATGATGCTGGCTGCCATCGAGCACCGTGCCGGAGCGGTACCCTGGGCCAAACGCCCACCGAACCTGTGGGACGGTGGCAAAAGGCAGCGCGGGGGCCAGGGCAAGCTGTGGGGCACGCCGGGGGGCTGGCAGCGGGTGACCCAGCCAATTCGGGGCTGGCGGCTGGCTGGACACTTGCCCAGGCAGCCAGGGGTGTGGGACTTTTGCAAGCTGGCTGGGCCCACCGAGCAAAAGTGGTGCCGGGGAACACCCACTCATCCAGCACTTTTTAAAAAAAATTATTATTATTTTTATTCTTTTCCGGGATGGGTTAGTCCCTGCCTGGGGAGGAGGGGACAGAGTTGTTTAATTCAGCTTCCTAGCCAGGGCTTGCTTGCTTGCACAGCTTTACGCACTGCTTTTTGCCAGGGTTTGTGCACTGCTGCAAGGTGGGTGACTCCTCGCTCGGTTTTTTGCTCCTGTTTCTTCACAAGCCACGTGGTGTCATAGGCACTAGGGTCGTACAACTCCCGCTTGTTTTGGTGAAACCCAAAATTGATGCTTGAAAGCAGCGTGGTGGCGGGCGGGCGTGTGTTTACATGTGGCTTACCAGGTAAGGCTGGGTTGAAGCCTCTAGTGGGGAAAACACGCCTGCCGGAGCTCCTCGAGCCATCCAGTGATGCCTTTCCCCTCTCGTGATTAATTCCTCTTAATTGGAGGAAACCTTTTAACTTCCACCGGGCGAAACCAGGGGAAGGTAGAAGTGAGGCAGGTATTGCATCGGTAGCGCTCCTCGGGGGATAACAAACACCAACTCCAAGCTTTATATGATCAAAACATGTTCTTTTTTTGTTGTTTTTTTTTCTCCCTGGTTAATGGCTGTGGTTACAGCTGCAGAGGGCTTACTGTAATATGCCCTTAGGAAAGATTTTCTGACATTATTGCAGTAATTACAGCTTAATGCAAGTTTCACAACTTCACGTAGCGCAAACACACGTGGCACAGCCAGGCAAGGGTGCTGGAGTTCCTCAGCAGGGAGAGCCGCAGCCAACGTTTTAGCAGCGAGTAACACTTTTCTGTTTGTTTTGGGTTTTTTGTTTGGTGCTCCAGGAAGAAATTGAAGTTTTCCCTGATTTTTCTGAGCTCCTGCTTTTTGATTGCTGTAGGAAAGCTGTTGAAATGCTGGTTTTAGTGGAGCTTTTCTTCTGTTATTGTTGCTACGGGCATCATCCTAAACAGCTATAAGCAAATGGAAAATACTCGAGCTATTTAAATGGGACCCTTGGCTACTCTCAAAACACAATTAAGCTGGGAGTGTGGATCTGCGGAGCTGTTTTATCCCTGGTCAGGGACTGCAACTCCCAGGCTGTGACTTACTGTGCAGCTTGTCCGGAGAAAGGGCTGTGGGTTTGCCCTGCACACCTCTTCCTCGGTCCCCTTGCCTTGGCGGTGTCCCGCTGGATGCATGCCATTAAGTTTTCCGCGCGGAAATGGGTCAGTCCCTCTGCAAGGAAGCAAAGGGTATGATTTTTTTGTTGTGTTTTCATGCACTGATTTTTATCTGTTGTAAGGCACTGGCTGCGGGCTGAGAGATGGAGAGCTTCTCTAGGAAGCATAAGCAAGTGGCCTTTAATAATAATGATAATAATAAACAGGCATTTCCTGTAAGCAGGAGCAGTTTGTGTGCAAGAGGTGCTCTCAGCCTCTCCCGTGGGCAGCAGTGGACTGTTTCCAAGGCTAGTCGAGCAAAGCAAGCTCATGCTCTGCCCTGAAGCTGCCTCTTGTAAATCTCGTAAAACCTTCCCCAAAGTTTTCAGTGCTGACGGCCCAAATAGTAATTAAGCACTGAAAATGTGCCTGCCAGACAAAAAAGGTGGAGGCAGCCCTGGGGAATTACGGGATGCCTTCAGTTGTGTTCGGGTGTGTGAGTGAGCGCTAATTGCTGGAGAAAAGAGTTGTTCTGGCATGGGAGGTGGCAGGCAGCGATGCTTTGGGCTGTCTCGCTTCTCTGACAGTGCAAGGGGGTACAGCCAGCCGCCTCCAAAGCCATTTTTGGGGGAAATGAGACAAAAGCAGCGAGGGGATATTCTCGGATGGGAGGTGGGAAGGGTTGCAGTGCCGGCTGCGCGTTATCTAGGAAGATGCTTTTGGGGCTGAGTAGGAAAGGAGCAGGGATGAGTTTATTTGTCTGTGCTGGGGAAGGTACAAGGAAAAAAATGAACCTACTTTTTGCAGAAGAGTATGGTAGGGGTGGTGGTTACCCTGCCGGGAGCGCTCACCATAAAGTCACCCAAGACAAGAAACCCACCCTTTGGTGGGGTTGTGTGACTCTTAGACCGATATTTCAAGTCTTTGGCTCTTAGCAGGAGCTGATAATTTTCTTTCGCTGGGCTTTGTGTTCAAAGAGCAGCTCTGTCTAAAGGCACGGGAGTGCACACAGGTTTTGGGGATGTATTTGGAGCAGGCGCCTGCAAGCACTCCTTAAGTGGGTTTTCCCAGTGTGTTTTCCTGGGCTGCGGAAGAGCGGAGAGAAGCAGCGTGCATTCTCCTTGCCTGCAAAGGAGGTCCTCTGGGTGTAATAGGTGAATTTAAGTGGGAGGGGAAGCCTTGAGCTGAGAAGCTGGCGATGTTGTTCCTGTTGCTCTCGTTTCGGGAGCTGCTCCTGTTTTTCCCTGAGCTCCGCACATGGTTCATGTGAAGCTGTTCTCCGAGGAGGTTTTCTCCAGGGAGGTTTGGATGACCAGGACCAGGAGGTGGAGGTGCAGTTTGGGGTTGGTTGTTTTTTTCCTTCTAAGCAGGGACCACAGCATCACTGCACCAGTCCCCAGCCGGAGCATCCCGTGGGCTAGAGTGAGATGCAGACATCTCGGGGGTGCTGGTGGCCTCTTGGTTTGTCCCCATCCCCACGGCAGCCGTCTTGCCGTCGGTGGCGGGCAGCGGCTTGCGGTATGACTGGGGGCCCCCTGAAAGCACCTCTGACAGGTTTTGGGACCAGTTATGACTGGACCCTTTTGACGCCACTGTTCGGCAGCACCACAGAAAGTCCTTTCTGAAAACCTCAGCCCGATTTCGCTCTCAGCCACCAACCCCAGCCTTCATCTCTGGAACGGATGAGCTCTTGGGTGTGATGCTGGGGCAGGGGGAAAGGATGGAGAGGGAGCAGTACCTCTCCCCCACGCAGTTTTTTCTGCATCCCCAGGTCTCCTCACATCTTTTTTTCCTATCTCCATACCCCCCACCCCCTTTTTTTTTTTTTCTAGCTTAGCTCTTGCCGGGAAAGGCAGCCCGGGGCTGGCTCTGGTGCCAGTGGTGGGATTTCAGATGGTTGCCCCGCCCTGGCCGAAATCCTGTTTGCGTTCCCGGAGCGCCGGGGTGGAGTATCGCGAGGGCTGCGCCGTGTTTCATTCACCAGCGAGGAAAATAAATACGCCGGGGCCGTCCCTGGGCAGGCGGCGGGTACTACTCCTGCGCTACTACAGCGTGAAAACAAAACAGATCCTTGAGCCAAGCAGTGCTCGTTTGGCTCGGAAATACATTTTCCAGTCAGGTTGGAGCCAGGCTTTTATTTAAATTTAAAAAAAAAATAAATTTTTTTTTTACTGCCCCACTAATCCTTTGAATATTTTGAGATTGGAAGCTATTTCTATTCCCTTGTGATTCCTTCTAAGCTGTCGTGCCAAAACGCTCTGTTTTGTTTTGTGCAGTGGTTTTTTTTTGGGGGGGTTGTGTGAAGTTGTTTTATTTTTTTTGTTTAGTTTGTGTGTTTTTTGTGGTTTTTTTTTTCCTTAAGGCTGTGATTCTTGCTTGGATCCTGCACTTGGGTTTGCGGGAGGGGGAAGAGGCAGCACAGGTACCATATGAGGTCCTGCCTGGATCACACAGGCTGCTCCCTTCTCCCCTGGCTTTTGAGGGGATTGCACGGTGGCTTTATCACATGTCTAATAACTTCTTAAAATGCAGACTGAGTTAGTTATGTATAGTACAGTATAATTGATACATTAGCTCTTTTTTTCTCATATAAGCCAGCGCTGTTTTCTTGCGTTGAGTTTATTTTCTGCTAAAGTGCAGGAAGATGCTGTTGAGAGGCGAGCCGTCCCGGTTCCCTCCTGCGGATGGAAAGTCCTTCAGTTTGCTGGAAGCAGGGTTTCTCGGCGTACAAATCCAGTTGTGGCTTTCTTCTCAGTATGACAAAACCGTTCGCTTTCCTTTTTCTTGTTGGGCACTTCAGAAAGGTTTGGGGAGGAAATGTGAGAATGTGATTAAACTATCCAGACAGAGGTTTTTTAAGGTTAGGGAAGGAGCTGCTGCTGTGCCTGCAAGAAAAGAAGGTTATTTAGAGAGAGGGAAAGAGAAGGTTTTGCTAGGGAAAGAAATTGGTGAGTGGCATCTCAGCTTTCCTCCCTATTTAATAGGGGACCAAAGCTTGGATACACCAGAGGAGATGCTCTTAAGGGAAGCCTATAATAAAAAACCCAAATGAATAAAAGCCTAATTAATAATAATAATATAAAAATAATAAGGAATAAAAGCCTGTCCTGCAATGCACTTCTTATGCAACGAGTCCCATTTGTGCTGCATACCATGTGCAGGCCCCAGCAGCCTGGCACCTGTACAACTTGTACGAACTGCATTTAAAAAAAATTTTAAGAGAGTAATAATTAAAAAAAAAAGTAGTAGTCTATCGACTCTTGCCAAGTTTAATAGAGTATTTATTTTTCTGCTGTTCATCTATTTTAAATGCTCTGGTTTTGTTCCGTGCAGCTTCCCGGTGGCAGTCTCACTCGCTAGCAGAAGATGTACAGCCCGAAATCTGGATTGCACAGGAGCTGCGGCGCATTGGAGATGAGTTCAATGCCTCCTATTGTCCAAGAAGGGTAACTTTCATCTTTTCACTTTCCATTTCTTTGCGCACTGTCTCTAAAAGGGAAAAGCTTAATCATCTCTGGAAACTAGTTCTGTGGTGAATGTTTCATTCACTCAAATGTAGAAAAGGATGCGCGGGTGGTTGTGTTCGCCTGGACACAGGGGTGTGCTGCCTGCGCCGGCGAGTCATCTGCTGCTGCAGCATCATTAAATCAATTAAAAATAACCTTTAAATTGAGACTTGAGGCTTTCAGGTACGAAGTTCGCAGTATCTTTCGTAGCCCCCAGGGCCAATAAAGTGTATTGCTGGACTGGGACTGGACCTGACAATAATGAGGAAGAAACTTCTAAAAGTTAAGAGGCAGGGAAAGTTTGGGTGTCTTGGGGTATTTTTGGGGTGGCGTTGGGAAGAGCTGTTCTGGAAGCAGTACCTGGCAGCAGTCAGGTGCTGGCACTGGTGTTTTTAGGGAAGTGTGCAGGGAGTGAATGCAGCAGCTTTTTGTGCTCCCAGATCCCTGCTGCTGAGGATCACGTGCATGGAAGTGTAGTTGGAAATAAGAAACAGGGATGGACTTGGTCTGATAACTTACTTTTCTTACAAAGAATCTGTCAGAGCTGTTTTGAAACGTGAATTTATAAGACTGTAAACTCTCTCACCTTTGAGTGTTGCAACAAAAATAGGTGGCATTAATAAGAAAAAAAAAAAAACCCCAAACCAAATGAACCCAGAGAGATGAAGTAACAGTAGTTTTCCAAAGAGCATCGTTAGCCAGTAACTTGCCTGCCAGACATTACTGACGGCTGCATGTTCGTGCATGTGGTTTCTGGTCTATCAACTCACCCTTGTGCTCGTCTGTGGGAAGAGGAGTCAGAAGCATGTTAGGTAGCAGTGTTGGTGATGAAATGCTGACTGCCTGGATCTTTATCCGTCCTCCCTGGCTCATGAGTCACTCCTGCAGTGGGTTTCCTTGCCATTCACAGGGTCCGTATGGTGATGCCTGTGGGCAGGGGCTCTCCCTCAAAATGGGTGCCAGGCTGCTGTGGTCCAGCTCCTTCTGCATGGCCTCTCTGCATCGCCTCACTGGAGACCTCTCCATCGGCTCCTTTTTCTTTGTAAACGCTCTGGCTTTCCTGACCCGCAACAAACAGGCGATAAGCTGTGTTTTATCCCAAATCTGGAACACTCGTCTTGCGACCTCCCCCATCGAGGCTGATCGCTCGTGATGTGATATACCCTCTTTTTTTGTTTAAAGGATGCCTTTTCAATGAGAGGTAGGGACCAAGCTGATCCTACAGGTGTTCAGAAAGCTGAAGGCACCTGGTGGCAGCAAGCTGATCTAGAAGGGCTGGCAGAAATGCAGAGTGCCATGCCGTCCCTTCTCCCATCTCTTCACTGGCTCCTGGAGCAGTGCCTTAAATTTGGAGTGCAGGCAAGGCCTTTGAGCACCTTCTGTGAACAGGTTTGTGATGAGCAGGAATGTCCTTCCTGCATTATCTCATGGGGACCCGCTCCCTTGGTGCTGTCCTGTGTGGAGCCTTGCACACTGGAAATCTGCACTGTGTACACCACACCGCTGCGTACAAAACTGTGAGCTGTGCTGTGTGGTGTATAAGAGGGTGTGAATTTAAGGGGGGGCTGAGGGGGCGTGGGAAAGGGTTTTCCCCACAGGTCCAAGAGGGTGGGGGTGAAGCCAGCAGCAGGATGGCATGAAGGTACCTGGTCACAGAGCATCACACAGGTTTGCATGAGGCGGTTCCCAGCGCTGCGGCCGAGTTTCCAACTTGCTGCCCCAGGGAGAGAACTGAAACACAGAGGACCACGTCCTGCTTGCTAGATGACATGAGCAGAGGCTGTCATGCATGACCCTAAAAACACTTTGTACCTGGCTTAATTAGCATCTGACGAATTCTTGCTCGTTGCACTCAGAAACGAGGAGGTTTCAGAGCATTTAAGCAGTTGCTGTAGAATTATTGTCCTCAACGTGCTTGGTTGTTGCTTCGTGGAAAGGTGTCTTTTCCATCTGCAAGCAGCCTGGATGCTCTGGAGAAAGGGTGGTCGCTGCAGAGCTGGAGCCCTTGGGCAGGAGGGTTGGTTAGGACACCTTACCAGCGTGCCTGGCTCTGCTGCTTGCTGGGGTTTGCCCTTTAAGTGTGAGGTTAGAAATGGGGAACTAAGAGCCCTGCCAAAACGGCACTTGCTGGGCAGGTCGGAGCTGTTGGACAGGTCGGGGCCACGGGTTCCCCATCACGTTCCCCATCGGTGTGCCCTTTGCGTGTGCTCTGTACGTCACCCCCCTCTGCGGACAGTCTCTTGGGCAAGACAATGGGGAATCGGACAACTCGCCATCCAGCCCCTCTTTGCCCTGACAAAGCTTGCAGGTCCAGCGAGCAGAGATGGCCACAGGACCCTCCAGCCATGGAGACTAGCTCCACGCTGAGGCTTTTGCCGGCAGAGGGTGCATCGCTTGGCTGCCGTCGCATGCCCCAAGCTTTGCTGCCCACACCCGAACTGCCTGCAGAGGTGGAAAATGTCTCGTTTCAACTAATTTTTTTTTATACCACTTTATTAAAGAAAACCTAATTTTGGCATTTCTCTTGCGTCCTTCTCTAAGCCTGTTGTGGTTTTTTTTGTTTGTTTTTTCCTTGCTCTCTGCCGTGTTGGCAGTCAGGCAGTGCGGTGGGCTTAGCATCGTGCTGGTGGGGGGACAGTTCCCGGGTGGGTAAATCCCACTCATGCGGGGACCTGATGCCATGGGGTGCAGGGATGCCCCAGGGTACCTGTCCGGAGGATGCTTGAGCATCATCTCTCCATGGTGACAGCTCCTGGCTATAGGACTGCCTGTGTTACACCCCCGTAGCGGGGAGGGCAGTTTGCATATCGGTGTAAACGGTGTAATTTCTCTCTCTGGGGCATGCACAGGCATGATTTTACTGCACTAAAAATAGCCCGAATCAGATTGCTTTGGGACAGTAGGGGGGGGGGGAACCTCTGGGCTGCTCTTTCACCTTAGGAAAAAGGCTTGAAAATAAATACTCCTTTGGTGGTTGTTCCTTTTTCTTTTCATTGTACACTGTTGTGATTCCGTGCTCCAGGGAGGAGTGTTTTGTTGCCGTGTCTGGCTCACCGTGTTTTGTGAATGACGTGGTGGTTACGCCTGGAGCGCTCCGAACTAAAATTCATGCGGCAGCGCCACAGGCGGGGACCTGCCTGTGCGGAGACTGATGCTGCTCTCCTCGCTGAGGGATTTTTATTTTTAATTTTTTTCCTCTCAGCCTTCCCACACTGTGGTTTTTAAAACCCTTTGACTGTGCTAGGGCTAACTGCTCCTTTGCCGCGTTTCAAACCCTCTGGCGGCATTGCATGCCTCCTGTGCCCACGTGTAGGACTCGCACGTGACATGCCTGTTCAGTGGCACCATGGTGGCTGCCTTCAAGGCAAGCATGGCTGGGAGTGGGCAGCTTCAACCCTTTGAGTATTATAAAGCTTTTTATTGAAGGAAAACATGAAAGGTCATAGAGTTTATTTTCAGTCTTTGTAAAATGCTTGATTTCGCACCTCTGAAATATGTGTGGCACCGCACAAGGTGTTCGTAGCACAGGGGCTTCATGCTGGAAATTAGTCACAGTCTTTTTTGTTTTTTCTTTTCTTTTTTTTTTTTCTCTTTTGTTTTAGGGTTTCTTGGATAACCAGGCAGGAAACCCCCAGATCATCATTTTGCGCCTCCTGCGTTACATCATCCGCCTCATCTGGAGGATGCAGTGAGTGCCGGGCACATTCTGAGGCATGGGGACTCATTTACTCGTTGGGAAAGCCCAGGGAGGATGGACAGACGGATGGATGTGGGGCTCCCCACGCCGCCCGGCTCCCACCTAGCCTCTCCCCCAGGACGCACGGTGGGGGGCCATCAGATGAGAGTGGACATCCCACGCTGATCTGCTAGGACTCTCCGATGCAGGATTTTGTCCGAGAGTCGTGTTTACTGCGTTTCTCTCAACTCGCTTTTTTTTTTTGTTTTGTTATTTTTTCCAAATGAGTCTCAGAGAAAATATTCAACGGCAATGGAATAATTTTTTTGTCATCGTTTCTGGAAACCTGTCGGCCTGTCTGGGATAAACCCTGCAGCGGGGAAAAGGAAAGCCTGAGCCAGCTGATGGGCAGAGCCGCCTTAGTTTGCCTTGCAGACCTTATCGCAGAGACTCGCAGAGCCCTCACCTCTCCCTTTGCCTCCTGGGCCTTTGCCCACAAAAAGGGATGGTGATGATGGAAGAAGGGCAGAGGGATTTAAATCAGCACTTCTTTTACCTGTAAATACCTAATGCTACCCCAAATCCACCTTCATTTGCATCATGCAAATAGCCTATTTCCTGCTGACTGATTTTTTTTTAATTTTTTTTTTTTTTTTACACTCTGAATTTCAAGACTTAGCTGTCAGACTCCCAGGGTCCAAAATACCACAACCAACCAACCAAACAAAAAAAACAATCCACCAGGTTGCCTTTTTTTAGAAATTCTTTATATAAAAACTTGTGAAAACGCTTATGTATTGTATAATATAATATATAATGTTGGTGACTGAGTAATTCAGCAATAAAACGTTTTCGGAGGCAGGTAGAAACAGTTCCCAGCACACCGCAGCTTTGCACTCAGAGGCGACAGCTCCTGCTGCGTAACTTCAGGAACTGTTTTAACTCCTGACTTGTACCTTGCTTTTGAATGCAGGAGGATTTTTTTAAGGCGCTGGATTTTTTTTCTCCTGGGATCCTCTCTGTGTTTGGACAGGACAGCCTGGAGCAGGGGGATGAGCAGGATGGGACTGGCGGCCTGAAGATCCCAGATACTAGTGCGCAGGGATGCAGCTGGAAGAGGCGCCGAAGGATGCCGACCTGGTACAGATCCACCCGGGGACTTGCCGTGTGGGGTCCGCTCCCCACTGACTGCCACGTCTCCTCCCAGACTGCCCTCCTTGCCCCAGGAAGACCTGACCAGGCCCTTGATGCCATCCCAGGGCGTCTCCCCTTCCACCTGGAGACCCTGCCACCTTCCTGGAGGAGCCCTGAGAGCTTGTCAGAAGAAGCAGGTCTGTTGCCTCGGACCCCTCGTGGTCTCCGGTTCATCATCTTGTGGGCAGGCGGTTGCTGCATGGCGGGTGCTTTTGGAGGGGTGGCTGCTCCGGCCACCCCCATATCTATGCACAAATGTACCCCTCTCTGCCTCTGGAGCTGTCCCTTTCCTCTGGCTGGTGCAGGTGGTCCTCAAACCCACTTCCAAATGCTGTGGTTTTATTTCTGGTTTCACCAGCCCCATAGGGAAAAAAAAAAGGAAAAAAAAAAGAAAAAAAATAAATAACCAAACCCAAGCCCACAATAGCGTTTTTTCCTGCAATGCGCATGCAGGGAGAAGCTGTTGAGTGCCATGTGTGATTATTAGTGTTTTTAATGATGGACAAACTGTACAATCTGACCTCTATGCACTGGCTGCCTGTGCCTGTCGGGTAGGTGAGGAGCCGTGGTCTTGGTGCGGGGCTGCGTGCCTCCCATTGCACTCCTCTGGAGGATTATGGAGCGATTTTTAATTTTTATTTTAAATTTTATTATCTTTTTTTGGACCTGCAAGGTGAGCATCGGTTGCAGGAGCAGGGGATGTTTTGGAAAGGGTATTTTGGAGATGGTGCAGGGAGAACCTTTGCACTGGTGGAGAGTGAGCGGTTAAAACATCTGGTAAGCTTGGCCAGGGCAGGTTCCTGCTCCTTGTCCCCTTGGTTTTGGCTCACCATAGGTGTGCTGCCCCAGCCGTGCTCAAGCCATTCCTTTTTTTCCTGTAGTATTTATATAGAAAACCCCAGCAGGGAGGCTGCTGCCACAGGTTTCCCATGGGAACCTATGTGGAATTGCATGGCTGTTGATAAAATTAAAAGAAAAAAAAAAAATTGGCAGCAGAGGGGGAAACCAAACGAGCTTTTTTTCCTAGCTGAGTTTCATCCATTGTCAGTGGATGAAATGGTGCTTTCGGGTCTCGCAGCCTTACAGCATCCTGGCACCGCGCCGCCCAGAATGTGTCCCTTGGAGTACACCAAAGAAACGCCAAGCACTTTACCCCATCCTCCCTGCTGGGCCGCCCCAGCCAACAACGGAGACAAAAATTGTATTAATTTTAAGGGAAAAAAATCAAGGTATTGGCACTGCCTGCCCGGGACTTCTCCACAGGAGGTGTTCCTGGCCAAAAGGTAGGCATAGGAAAATTAGCCCCCAAACCCCAGGTTTCACCCCTGTAGAGTTGTGAGGTTTAAGGAAAAAAAAAAAAAAAGCCCTGAAAGTCCCCTAAGAGAAGAATGGTGTTTTAAAATTGTGATTAAGCTCATTTTAGCCACATTGGCTGACTGCTCCGGGTCATTTTAAGCATAACCTGTGGTCTCTGTTCTGCCAAAAGGATGTGATGAAGAGTTTTCCTTGGTTGCTGGGAAACCAGATGTATTCCCGAGCGATCTCACACGATGCGTTAATGCTTCTCCTCTTTTCCGTAACTGTAAATACCTGAATATTTATTAGAGTAGGGCACCATATTATTTTCATCATCTGAGCCAAATATCTGTGTGCAATGTATTTCCTTTCCTTTCTCTCATGTAAGTTTTGTACAGCTTATAAATAAGGAAAAAAAATTACTTTTTATCCCTAAACTTTTTTAGAGTTAAACTTGATAAATACTGTAGATTCTTTTTTTTTCCCCAGTGTAATTAATGCACTCTACTGTTCCATAATGCTGTAACTTGTAGAAATGTTGTATATTTATTTTCTGCTTATTTAAGTTCCTGTAAAGTTTTTGTTTCCCCCTTCTCTCCTCCCTGCCCCTGCAATAAGGATCACCTTCCAAAGCACTGTCTTCTGGCAGTGCAACCGATGTGGTTTGGATAATGAGATTTATTATTATTTTTTTCTCAAAGTGCCTAAGTCCCACTTTCCAGTAGTGATTTAGGCACACCCAAGACTTCAGCATTAGTGAAATTCAGTGGGAATTTGGCTTCTACATCCCTGTGATTTTTGCCATTCTCCTTTCAAAGCCACATTTTCTTCTATCTCAGCCACTTTCCCTGGACCAGCTTTAACATCAGGTACCGCCCCAGCGCACACGGATGTGCTGATGAATCACTAACTCGTTTCACAGGACCCAGCGTATGTAGCATTTTTACTGCAATTTCCCTGGCTTACTTGTGTTTTGCACTGATGAATTTTAGACAGGGTAATTGCCACTTTACTTGTGCAATACTGCTGTAAATAATTGCAGATCTTTTTTTTTTTTTTAAGATGCAATCTTTTATGTTCTTAATATGAGTTTTATATGAATAAAAACTTCCAACTATTTATCATGAGTGCTGTTTTCTTTGGGGGCTTGAGGATCACCTGAGGAAGGGCTGCTTTATCACCAGTTCTCCCTGTTTATTACCCGTTCTCCCCCAGATCCAGGATGCGGGTGCCTGCCTGGTGTTTTCCTCTGCTCTGAGGTGCTCCGAAGCTCCTGGGACACTAAAATGCATCTGTTAAATGAAGCTGGTTTGTAAGATGTTGCCTTGAGTGTTCCCAAACCCCAGAGTGGCACCACTGCTGCCCCTGCTGGGAGTGCTTGGGGTTTTTGTTGGGTTTTTTGTTGGGTTGTTTTTTTTTTTTTCCTTTTCCCCACATTTATGGGGCTCTGCAGACATGGGCTGCATCAATGGGCTCAAACCCGACTGCTGGGCACCTTCCTGTGCCCTCACAGCATGCCCTGTCCCCAGTCGGTTTTCACAGGTATTGAAGAAGTTTGGGGAAGCATGGGGCTTTATTATTTGTGTACTATTTTATTATATTTTACTTTTTAAAAAATTATTTTATGTTCTTTTTATTTTATTATTTTTGTTATATTATTTTTTTACTTTATATTATTATTTTAAAGTTGAATCAAAATCTGCTCGTGAAAATTACCATCCAACCTTCCTTCTGCCTCAGCCCTCCATCCCGTGTCTGCACCCCTTGTCTGGTGGCCAGGTACCCTGGGGAGGAGGGGATGCTTCCTGTGCAGATAAGCGGTGATGGCAGAGGTCCTGAAATTGGGGGGGGTGAGGGGGTGGCAGGAATGAGTGTGGGATGGGGACGGGCCAGCCGAGGCACATGGGGATGGCTTGGGTTGCTCCCCTTGGACCAGGACGTGCATGCTTCTTCTGGAAGACCCAAATAAATTGTTTTAAAGGCTAATAAGGAAAATAAGAGGATCGATACGGTTGTCATGGAGGGAGGGAGAGCATTGCATGCAGAAACATCCAGTATTTGAGATGATCACCACTGAGTGCCCGCGTCCCTGGGCTGATGCTGCTTTTCCCCCTTCTTGCCTGACATCCCATATAATTCCCATTTTGAAGGTCTGCGGCAATGCTGCAGGCATAAGCCAAGCCGTTAAGCATGGTTGTGGGCTCAGGGCTTGATTTTTTTTCTTTTCCTCAAAGGCGATGAGCTGCTGGCCCATGCTGGGCATGGGGCGGTGGGGGAGAATATTTTTAGCCACTTTCTTCCCAAATATCAGCTGGGTGGCTGGGGTTTGTGTTGTGTGACGCAACACAGTGGGACTGTGCGTCAGCTGGGAAGGCCAAAAGGCAGGAAGAAATTGTGGGGGGAAAAGCAGATTGAGAAGTCCCCTGCGCAGGAGGTCGCAGCCAGAGCCGGGTGCTGCTGTGCCAAGTGTTCCCACACCCTGGCACCCACCAGCTGAAATGTATTTAAAAAAAACCCCAAAAATCCTAGTTGGCAATGTAAAAAAAATTCTGGATTTTTTTTTTTTTTTGTTCTTGTGTGTGTTTCAAATTACAGAAGTTCCTGAAAGGGAAGTTTATTGGTTTCAGGTGCTATTTTGGGGGCTTCTGTAACTCAAAAAAAAAAGGCTTTATTGCCCAGCCGAGGCTCTGGCAGCTGCTGGCCCCGCTCTGCCCATGGCTCTTTGGTCCTGTTGGTGTTTGCGAGCCCACCGGCTTGTGCGGGCAAGTTGTCCCACCTCGTGCTCTCCATTTATCTTTGCCATGACTCATGTTGGAAGGAGCTCATCGCCTGCCTGAACCCGGTGACCTTGGCAAGGCAACAGGGAAGAGAAACGCTGCCCCGCCGGCCACAGGCAGTGGTGCAGGGCGCCGGCAGGATCTTCCTTCTGGGCATGGCCATCACCAGGTCTAGGTTGGCCGTGGCCAAGATCAAAAGCGGCCGTGGGCCCGGCTGGTCATGGCCAAGATCAAAGGTGGCCGTGGCCCAGGCTGGTCATGGCCAGGTTCAGGTTGGCCATGGCCAAGTCCAAGGTGGTCATGGCCCAGGTCCACCAAAGACATATCTGGGTCCTCGACAAGCGACAGGCCCTTTCTTTCTGTGGTCTTAAATTTTTGCTTTAGTAACTAATTAAAATGACATGCAATTTTGTTTTAAGGATGACAAACTTCCTTTATTCCTCAAAAAGGAAAAAAAACCTTTGCTTGTGGAAAAAGCCGTCTGAAAGCTTCACCGCCCCAGAGCCCCGTGTCCATTGGAAGGAAGCCTTTCTACACTCGCCCCCTCCCCAAACACTCATGACTGCCCTGGGCACACACTGTTGAGGACACACAAGACCTTGGCCTGGCCAGACTGGCTCCAGCCTGGAACGTTCCCACATCCCTTAACCCCTACCTACCTCAGGAATGACAAACAACCCAACCCAACAATGAGATCCCCGTTTGGCTGCTAACATTACGTGTAGCACCCACTGGGAGGGCTTGGGGGACGCACAGCCCAAAGCACCCATCAGACGTGGGCTGAACATCATGGCTTTGGCAGAGCCGAATGGTCAACAGCTGCCATGACTCGTCCATCCAGTGTCACAGGAGCGACAACGCCATGCTGCCAGGCTCTCAATGTATATATTTTTTTTCCAATGACTCGCATCTGACCTTTCAAACACCTGTTCAGCCTTAAACAGCTAAAAATACCCACCGAACTTTGCATTTGATTTTCATATTGCAACAAAGCTCACTGTTTCCAGCAGGTTTTCTTGTGTTTCTGGCAGGTTCTAGGATGGTCAACCTCTCCTCTGGTCAAACCCAGCGGAGACAGGGATGGGAGATGGCTGGCTGCAGGCAGGGTTGCTCAGGCTGCCCTGGCTTGTGGCCAGGCCAGGAAGGTCCCTAGAAGCAATAAGGGGGCATTATGGACGCTGTAACATTATAGATGCTTTAACGGGGCTGGGCATATATTTATATGGTATAAGACAAGCCCAAGGATGGTAGGACCAAGGGGACCCTCCCGCTGCCCACCAGCAAGGGCTCTGCAAGG